ATATAATGCGGATATTGTTCTGTTTGGATTGGTCACACAGTTCTCTTAATATTCTTTCATTCCTGGAGGTCCTTTTATCTCTCTCTGCATCAGCTTCTCTGCATTCCTGTTCTCTGATTTCTATTCCATTCACGGCCTCTTGCATCTCGTCCATTCTGCTTTTAAGGCCTTCCAGAGATTGTTTTATTTCTGTGTTCTCCCTCCCTACTTTATCTGTTAGCTCTTGCATTTTTCTCTGCAGCTCCATCAGCATGGTTATGACCTTTATTTTGAATTATTTTTCAGGAAGATTGGTTAAATCTATCTCCCCAGGTTCCCTGTCAGGGGCTGTCTGTGTGATTCTGGTCTGGATCAAATTCTTCTGTCTTTTCATGGTGATAGAGGTAGTCGTAGGCAGTTGGTTCGTGTGTCGACTGGAAGAACATCCCTTCTTGCTTGCCTGTCGCCTTCCCTTACTGGGAGAATGGCAACCCCAAGCAACTAGTGCTGGACAGCTGCATCCAGACGGGGCCTCTGAGTCTGGCCCGGGTGGCTGCGGAGGAGGCTCTGTGTGGCTGCTGTGGCGTGCTGGTCTCAGGCTGCTCCCACACTATGGCGTGGACATGCCGAGGGGGAATAGACTTGGAGGCTGCTTATCGCCATGAGGAGCCTCAGAGCTGCACTGCCTCCCAGAGGGTTAGGACGCCCAGAGTTCCCTGGGATTCCCAGCTGCTGGGCTCAGTGTGCTGGGATGCTTCTGTCCAGCTGTCAGGCCTCTGTCCCTGTAAGACTTTCAAAATGTACTGGCTTTTCTACCGAGTATCATAATTCTTCCAAGTGGTAAAGATACCTCAAGACAAATGCTGGGCATAGAAGCCATAGGGCATAAATCTGCAAAAAAGTAAAAAGCTAACCTTTTCAAGGAATATTGCTTCTCTCTCACTTACCAACTTTACATCTCCCTGTATGGCCCCGGAAGATGACTGGTTAGCCAAAGACGGGTAAGATTCCTCAAGGGAGGAACAACCTAAGACAGGCACAGTCGCAGGGGGGCCATCAGGTGAGAAATTGGGGATCAACAGAGGTGAGGCTTAGAACCCCAACCCCCCTGTTTTGAGAGAAATCTTCTGCATCTGTGGATATTTTGTTGCCCTTGTCTAACTTGGATTAATACTTAGTCTACAGGCACACACCTGATCATCTACATTTGCTTTCTTACAGCACTAAACTATGTTTTCTACCTTTATCTTGCATCTACCTACCACTTCAGCATTTTATTTAAAAAANCATGATGCGTGATCAAAACCGAAAGTTTCTGTGATGACTGCCCTTGCACTGTTCACCATGTAAGAACTTATTCACTATGTAAGAACTTGTTCACCATGTAAGAACTTGTTTGTTATGCTTCAGAAGATTGGAGACTGTTGAGAATTAGGCTTGGGGTTGATTAATGATTGTGCATTGAGTCCCCTATACAGAATTTTATTGTTGTTAACAACCATTCGATCAATAAATATGAGAGATGCCCTCTCAAAAAAAAAAAATGTACTGGCTTTTCTTTTGTCCCGGGGGCGCCGGCTGCGGGGTCCCGCTCACAGGTCTTACTGTCCTGTTTCCCTAGTATCCAACACACCATGCACTGTGTGTCTGTGGTCCTGGTGCAGATGACTAGGGCTGGGTACTCAGCAGTCCTGGGCTCCCTCTCCCTCTCCGCTCCGACTCCTCTCCTCCCACTGGGGAGCTTGGGTGGGGGCCGCTCAGGTCCCGCCGGGCCATGGCTTGTATCTTACCCCCTTTGCAAGGTGCTGGGTTCTCACAGGTGTAGATGTAGCCTGGCTGTTGTCCTGAATCTTCTGGTCTCTCTGTTAGGAATAGTGGTATTTGTTGTATTTTCAAATATATATATGGTTTTGGGAGGATATTTCTGCTGTTCTACTCATGCCGCCATCTTGGCTTCTCCCTGGCTTTTGTTTTCGGAATATACCTTTTTGTGTAGTTTTTTTTCCTTGAAACATGTATTTTACATGTTCAAAGAGTGAAAACGATCAAATGCTAAAACTGAATAATAACAAAAACTAATGAGCCTAACTGCATATCTAATTGATGTCAGAACCACACAGAGAAAATAATTCAAGTGCCTTTTAAACCCAGCTATTTGACTGTACTCCTTTCATGGGATATAGTCTTCATCCCATGAGACAAAAGGAATTGGCTTTACTCTTAGTATGGTTGCTGTTAATAATGGTAGTGAAGAGGTGATGGTGAAGCCTTTTTGGGTGTACTTTTAGACTATTTGGTAGACAAAATGAGTAAATACATCAATGGGAGCCAGAATTCTCCCTGTGGAATGAGAGAAGGTGAGAGAGAATTGTGATACTGGATTCAAACTGGGGATTTCAGTACTAGCTCTTAAATACATATTTCCAAGTTTTGTCCAGTGACAGCATCTAGAAGAAATAACACCCAGTAGCAATGAACACACCCTGGACAAAGACCTTGGTTTCTAAATACCACTCTCCACTAAGATGAACCAGAACTCCTTGGAGAAATGAATGATTCTAGGGCTGGTGCAGGAAAAAATACAAGACGAGCTTGGAACACCTTGTAGTGCCAGAAAGTAAGGAGTGATTGAAAAACAAAAGGATGAGGAATGGCAGAGGGACCTGGAAGCCAAGTGGAAAGGACCAAAGTAGAACAATTTGAACATCCAAAAAGATATTAATACTTCTGGAGAGGAGTATGACTGGGAGGGGGCACCAAGGAAGGTGTTGAAGTACTGGCGATAGTCTGTATTTTCATTTGGAGGGGATAGATACATGGGTGTATTTAATTTAAAAATCCATTGAGCTGTGCACTGATGATGTATGCATGCTATAGTCCAATAAAAATTACTCCCCAAAATGACATTCTTGGATTTTAGGTTGTTGAATAAAAGAGCACTGCATCCACCAGGATAATCCAGAAAGAAAGTAGGGAAAAAAGAAAGCTTTTTATAGAGAAATTCCAACTAATTGCAGAAAGAAAGCATCAGAAAACCACCATTTTGCAGCCACCAGTGTAATTCTTTGAGGCCAGGATCATCCTCTGATGGTAAAGCCATTAGGCAAAAGTTGTTGGGGAACAGGATAGCCGCAGGGTCTCAAGGTATTACCCCCAATTTCTTGTGCATTAGGAAGGGAAAATGCAACTTTGCAATGGAGAAACTGGCAGCAGCCACACCGACAATGTGATCAAACCAAATCAAGCCTCCCCGACCGTGGGAGCGCCTCCTGATGATGTTGGGGTGGGGGGAGGACACAGCATCTGCTTAAGCTAAACCACTGAGGAAGGAATCAGGCACATCCAGACTCTGGAACATTCTAGAAGGCAACTGTTCTGGACTCTTCCAAAAATATAGCCTGAATGCCTATGGAGAAAGAGTTGAAAGAAGCAAAGTTGGCCTCCTGCCTCTTGTCATTAAAAGCTCACCGAATGGAGAAAATGTGTGCTAACGGGCTGCCCAGAGCCGGACCAGGGTGCCAACAGGGAAGGAACCGTGTCTTCAGTGCCAGTGTTGCTAGAGTTTGGAACATGGCAGGTGCTAAGTGAATGTGTGCTAAGGGAACAAATAAGGTGGCTCACAGGAGAGCCACTTGGTAGAGGTGTGGCCTGCTGCTCAGAGCAAACGGGCTCGAATGAGCCGGAGCCATAGGAGTGAAGCATAGAAATGGAAGTGAAGATGGACAAGCTCCCCTGGGTAGTGATACATATAAAAGAAGGGGTCTGGAGACACACCCCTAGAGACCCCCAGAGTTGTTGGGTGGAAGAACCAACAGGGCCGAGACCCAAGAGCCCAGGGAGGTGGAGAGGGGTGTGTTGTCTCTCCTGCAGGCTTCTCAGGACCTGGGGGGGTCTGAGGCAGGTCACAGGTGTGACATCTGCTCCCTGGAGTGTCCAGCCTGGCTAAGCAGTGCCCCTGTGGGACCTACTGAAGCTGGCTAGGCCCAGTTTTAGCCAGGCCTGCACCAAAGGCCTGCAAAGTGCCAGCAAATTGTGGGCATAGCTAATCTGTTACTTGGGTACCTCCAACTCAACAAGCCCCACCCCAAAGCAAAAGCTGCTCTCTTCTGAATCTGCCTCTTGTCCCATGTGCCCTTGGGAAAAGGCACTGCAATCATCTTACTCCAGGTGCCTGACAGGTCACTTCAGCTAAGCCTCTCCCCCATCCTGCCATCCTCCAATATCATTTCCATCACAACAGAGTCTGTGAGCTGTACCATGTCCCTGGAGATCAGGGACTGTCCTGAGACCTCTCCCAAGTGTGCAGGCAACAGGGGATAGAGGGTGGACACTTGGCTGGGAGGGGCACAGCACCTGCAGTAAAAATTCGGGCCACTACTGAAGGATCTCAGCATGTGGGGCCTGCATGTACACAAGGGGCCACCCCCAGACTCAAGGGCCAAAGGGGCTGTGGCCTGTGACTGCTCCATTTTCACATGCAGTCCCTGGCCTCCTCTTTTGACTGCACAGGGCCTGGACCGAGCCTCCTATCCCTGCAGCTTTGTAGGTCTGTAGAAGGTACAATCCCAACAACATTGTAGAAGGCTGCACAGGGCTCTGTAACTGGACCAGGTCTGTGTCCCACTAAGCTCTTCTGTCAGTGAGGCTTCCACCGTGTACCCTGAAGACTTCACTCCTGTGTCCATGTCCAGCCTGATCTCCCCACTGAGTTTCTGACTCCCATGTCTAACTGCCCAGCTGATGCCTCCTAACCATTAGATGGTTCTGTCACCCCTGATGCAGGAGGCTCTGGCCCAAGGGACTCAATGACCATCTCTACGGTCTGTCTGAAATGAGCATCTGCATGTGTCACCACTCCCTGCAGTGGACAGTTGCTGTTTGGGGCCACCATTCAGCCCTCCCTGATGACCTAGCTTTTGTTGAAAATCTCCCTCTCCCTCTCCCAGCTCATGTGTGTCTAGGGAATTGGCTTCCCACTGCCCACCTCACCTCTGGGCAAAATGATTCGAGGCACCATCCAGTTCTGACCAATGAAAGGACATCATTTATTTGCTGGAGGAATCTGAGAAAGAAGCTGCACTATAGGGCGAGAAGGTGCTCCTTGCTGGCTGTGAATGAATGAGGGATGTGGTGGAAGCAACAGGCAGCCACCTTTTGATCCTGAGGTGATGGCCTGGGATGAAGCAGACACTGAAAATTGCAGAAGGGAAGTAGTAAGAAACTGGGTATTTGGTGAAATTGTTCATCAGTGGCCAATACCCCTGGATTTCTGTTTTGTAAACCAGTAAGTTTCCTTTATTGTTGGAACCAGTTTCCTTTATGGTTAAACCAATTATTGGAAACCCAAAGCAGCCTAGCTAATATAGTTCCTTTTGGATAAAAGTCAAAGTTTCACATTCACCTTCAATGACATTTAAATTTCAACAAATATTTCCTGACTCAAAATAAACAAGAGCATTGGTAAGTCTATCACATGACCCACCAGACTCCACAACTCCAAGTGGGTCCTGCTGTTTGATGTTCCCAGCTCTCGGGTACAGCCAGGTGCCTTCTGTCTATCCTTCAAAGCCTTTGAGCATCAGGCTTCTGTCCATCTTCCCAGCCTGGGGACCCAGTGTTCACCCCCGAAGCCGAGGCAGCAGGGTGGCTTCCTTCCAGCCTCAACCTCTCCCGGTGCTCTTCTCCAAGGAGCAGATACCTATATGACCTCTAGGGCCCGCACAGAAGGCAGAGGGGTGGGACCAGTGCCACCAGCTCATGCTTCTGCCCCCGGCAGTGAGGGGTGTGCAAAGTGAGAGCCCCGAGCACACCTGGAAGGGGAAGGGCCTGCGCTCACTCTGTGGGTGAGCACAGGGTGTGGGGGCCTGGCTGGGGCTGAGTGACCTCAAGCCAGTCATCTGTCATTCCTAAGGGAGCAATAACTGCCCACATCTAGGAGACAAGCAGAGAAGAAGAGCTGTGACAAGTCCAGAGAACAGCTGTCACTCGAAGGGCCAGGACACTACATTGCTGAGTCAAGTTCAGCTATTGCTTGGCTTTTGGCCTCAGTTTGTTTATGGAACAGAAGGAAACCGAGGTTTAAGGAGTGGCCCTCATTGTGCAGAGTCAGTGGCTGGGGACCAACATGACACAGGGACTTGCCTGAGGTCAGACCACAGATCAAGGTGGCATTTGCCCACAACTCCCCAACCTGCTTTTCCTTCATCTAGTACACACTGGCTGCAGCAGCTGAGGACACCCAGGGCTGGCTGTCACTTGGCTTACTGCCAATGCCAGACTTGTTAGGATTGGGCAGCAAGGTCCAGCTGCTTCCCCTTTCAGGCCTGGAAAGGAGCTGCTCAAAGTTTATTCTCAGTGGGCTAAACATGACACGCCAAAGCCTATCCCTCAGAACCGTTCCAAACAGCCCCTTTTTCCTTCTCATGCTGAGGCACTTCTAGAAGTCGACTGGACTGATTCTGGCTTCCCCACTTCACTGCTAGGAGCCTCGCCATCTCACCTTTTGTGTGAGGTGCAGGAGCAAACTCAGGTCAAGTGCTTTGAACAGTGCCTGGCACCTACAAGAGCCAGGTATAAGTAACCTGGTACCTACCAGCTATTATTATTATTATGAGCCAAATTGCAACATGAGAACACATTTAATGCTACATGCAGCTTGTGGCCCAGCCAGGCTCTTCCCCACACTCCCGGAATCCTATTTGGAAAACCCTTTCTCCATAGCTTCAGTCACTTCAGGGTGCAGGAAGCGGCTAGCCAAGCGTTCAATGTCATCCAGTGTCAGGCGGCTGAGGGACCTCTCATAATCCTGAGGAGAGAAGGCCAGGAAGATTCAGGGGGTGCCAGTGGGAGGGTACGCTGTGACAGAGGCAGGGGCTGGGAGCAGTTGGGCTGGGAGTGGGCGACCCGCTACCCTTCTCACCCTCTGTAGTTGATCCAGGACTCTGCTGGCATCTGCAGCACTGAAGTGCCGGGCCAAGACTTTGGAGATCAGCTGCCAGGCGGATGGGGATGGGGGCGGGGCTTCAGCCAGTCTCCGGGCAGCGCTTTCTTCCAGTAACACCTTCTCTAGAGGTTTGACCACTAGGTTGAGCTTGGAATTGGGCCCAATGCTGTAATCGGAGAGTCTTTTTCCATCTGTCAAAGAGAGATTGATGGAGTCGTTACCCACAGCAGTGGGGGTGGCCTCACGGAGCGCAGGCCGTAGCGCTGCGGCATCAGCCTGAGGGTTCCTCCAGCTCCCTGAAGCCTGGATCAAGTGGTCAGCGTCCCATTCATTACACTACCGTCCGGAGTCGGCCTGGACAGCCCGCCCCCCGACTTCCTGCGGGCTCTCCGGGCGTCTCCTCCTCCCGGTTACCTGCCAGGGCCTTGCCCTTGAACAGCAGCCGCTGCTGGCATACGGGGACGTTCAGCTTCTCGGAGACCACATGTTTCAGCGTGGATACCAGCTCGTCCTCCGACACCTGGCCGGGTCGAGGGAACGAGGCAGGGGATGAGCTCGCGGCCTCCGCTGGGGGCAGCTCTCCCGGCCTCCCCGTGCCCGCCCTGGGCCCGGCCCGTCCCTGCGCCCGGGCTGGGTGAGTGCGCGAGCTGCCACGGTGGCGGGGGCCGGCGACGCTACCTGCACACTGCACTCGCGGCCTTGGAGCGCCTTCACTGTCAGCTGCATGGCGGCCGCGGCGCCGTACACCCCGGCCGGCGCGAACCCCAACGGCCCCCAGCCGCGGGAACCGCCCGCCGCTGCCGGAAGCAGCGAGAGGGGCGTGTCCGCCTCCCGCCCCGCCCTCGTGGGAGGAGTGTCCTAGTGGTCCCGCCCCGCAGACGCACAGGGAAGACCCGGGCTGACAAGTCCCCAGCGGCGGCCGCGCGGGGAGGGGCGGGAGGAACTGGTAGGGCCGGGTCGGCTCCCTCTGGGAGCAGGGCCCTGGGAGGCGGGAGAGCTGGGAGTGCGCTCGCTCTCGCGGCCAGCCGGCCCGAGCTGCGGTCCCAGAGACTCTGTCTCTCGGGGGTCCACAAACGCCCCAGGCCTGCCAAGCTTGCCCCATTGCCCGCAGGACTTCTGCCTCCTTTCTAGTCTGGCTGCAGAGAACCAAGCAGGCTTGGGAGCAGGTAGGGGAGCCAGGCCTCTGCCCTCCTCCTCCTTCTGTTTTCTGGAATAGAGGCCCACCTCTCCCAGAGAGGGAATGCGTGGGGAAGAAGGGCTGAGAGAGTCTGTGCAGAGGTCACTGTGTGTCACCCAAGCTAGTCATCCACCCTGGCCCACACCTACCCAGCAACACCCTTCCTACCCCTACCCTTAGTCCCCAAAGGGCAAAGACTGGAAGGGACCCAAGCTTGCTTCTCTTTTATTGAAATGTATTTTCTGGGCAGTACCCACCTACCTAACTCAGTGTGGCCTCTTTGGCACTGAAAGCTGGAGAATAAAAAAACCAGTAAAAAAAATAAGCCTGAATTTTTCTGAGTGCATAGTGCATGAGAACTAAAGGCCTTTGGTACACAAGAACTGTGGGGACAGTGGGTGGGAGGGTAGGGGCTAGGGGTGGCAAAAGCTTGACCCAGGGGTCTCAGGGAACTGGGCACAGGCTGCTATAGATGAAGTGGCCAATGACCAAGGCCAGCATCTCTGAGGTGCCACTCAATGCCACAATGAAGGGGGCCTGGGAGGCATAGTCAGCTTGAAGGCGGCGGAGAGACAGCTGTAACATGGCCAAGGCCAGCAGGCTGTTCTGCACCCCTACCTCAATGCTAACTGTCCGCCGCTGGGCCACTGGCAACTTCAGGCATGCAGCCAGGCAGTAGCCCACCAGGAGGCCAACCAGGGGCACTGTGAAGCCCACCACCACAATGGGCAGCCTGACACCCACCAGGATGAAGACCCCCATGTGGTAGGCCAGGAAGAGGCCACCCAGGAGCAGTACAAAGCTGAAGGGCTTGATGACCTGCAGCAGCAGCTGGGAGAACTTGGGGAGCTTGGACTTGATCACCACCCCTGCTGCTATGGGGATGGCGATGAACAGCAGGGTCCCCAGGATCTTGGAGATGGGCACGTGGAGTGTTTCATGAATGCTGAGCAGACGGCTGTAGATAGCTGAGGACAGGGGCAGGAAACCAGTGGCAGCCACTGTTGAGATGAAAGTCATGGAGATGGCCAGGGTGACATCCCCTCCAAGGAGGAGGCTGAAGAGGTAGCTCCCCCCGCCGCCAGGTGACGAGCAGGTGATGATGAGGCCCAGAGCCAGGGCCTTGGGCAGCATGAAGACCTTGGCCATCAGGAAAGCATAAAAGGGCATGACCAGAAACTGGCCCAGGAGACCCAGCAGCATGGGCTGGGGGCTCTGCAGGAGCCCCTTCAGAACCTCGAGTTCCACTTTGCACCCAAATGTACACTTGTTAACAAAGATAAGAGGCAGGAGCAAATAGAGTATTGGGTTCTCTGAGAAGTGGACTAGGTCGGTGCCAAGGGTGGCAGGGGTGTCTTCAGCAGGCAAGACCTTGATGCAGAAATCTCTCCGCTCCTCAATCAGCATAAATGGGGCCTCATGGGGATCCACAAGCTGGATGTGGAGTGGGGCTAGTCCAGGCAGGCCTGAGTGGATGCTCACCACAAAGCCGCCCCCACCACCCCAGGTTATGGCACTCACATTCTTGATGGTCAGCACCTCTGCGTCAAGGGAGGTGACCCTCAGGATGGGGCTGGGCCCTGTTGTGTTACCCTGGCCTGGGTACTGACTTGAGATCACAATGATGCCCTCGCTGTCCTCTGGGAACTCAAACTCCATGACAGAGCCATCCCCAATGCTCAAGTAGCAGCCCCCTGTCAGTGGCATGGTATCGCCCAGAGCTGTGCTGTGATTGGCACTGGCTATTCCCTGGGCCCCACATGGCAGGCTGAGAAGCAGCAGGGCAGCCCTGAGCATGCCTAGGAGACCTGGGCAACCATCACCCTCTCCCAGGCCAGACCACCACTGGGTGCTGCCCCTGCCCCTCCTAAGCACCATGGCTGCTACCAAAGGATGGTGTGCCCAGGCGCGCTGTGCCTTAGGAGAGCAGCCCTGCTGGTGCTGCCGGGTGGTCCTGAGAAGGGTCCATGGGTGAGGCCTGGCCCTGTGTTGTCTTCTTTGATGGCAGAGCTCTTCCTGAGGAGAGAAGGGACAGAGAGAGATGGCTAGTGAGGGCGAGCAGCTGTGAGCCCAGAAGCATGGGCATCTGGAAGCTCACTTCTGGGAGACTCAACAAGACTTCTTGCCCCAAGCCAAGGAACGGCAAAGCAATCAATGCCTATTGCTGGCATCTGAGAGCCGCTTGGCTGTGCCTTACACCAGCACTGCTGTCTCAAGCCTCCTATCCCTCACCCCAAGGGGCCACCTACAGACAGTAATTCCTGTTCAGCTACTGATACCTGCTGATTTCCCTGGGCTTGCACAGTCAGCACAGTAACCATAAAGAAGTCCTGATACCAAAGGATTCAGGAGAGTCACCTCCCATCCTGTCACTGCTAGCCTGTTCTCCACTGGCTATGAGACACAGCTATAGCGAGGGTTGCAGTGATACTACAACCAGGATGAAATCTCTGAAAGGCTGCCCAGGGATGATAAGGAGACAAACTGATGACAGCAAAAGGTGCTGATGGGACTTGGGCCAGATCTGAGAAGCCATCAGAGAGCAGGTTAGGGCAATTGAGTGCCTCTGCCTGGTGGAAATTAGCCAGCAAAGTGGCATGGGCAGTGAGTGACCATGCAGCCAAAGGCCCCAGGGGCTTATGTCCACCACCAACATGTACTTGTGAACAGTGCTGCTGTGGCTGCCTCGTCTACCCGACCTGTTGACAGCGGCGAGATGGGGGTCCTGGGGGAAGCAGGTCTCCTCTTCCCAGGGAAGCTGCCAGAAGGGGCAGCAAGAGGGAGTCAAATAGGGCCACATGTCTGTTGGGGTCTTCTCTTTCTGTCAGAGCTTCTACTCCTCTGGCAGTCCCCAGAATTTGAGCTCCAAGTGCTACTGTGTCACACCTGAGAGGCTCTGCTTGGAGTTCAGGGGCTCCTCCCCATGCCCACATGGTCCCTAACCAAGCCTGAAACTCTCAGTAGAGCTATGAGTATTTCTAGGGGGGGCGGGGTGCCTCTGGGTGAAAGAAGGTTTGCTTCCTTCCAATTCTCAGTTTGGGCAGCCACTACCCAACGTCACATCACCTGCTGGAACTGGGGCAACCAGGATGAGGACAGAGTTGTTTTTCATCACTACTGTTGGTTGCCTTATGCCCTGCAGTCCCAGTCCTGGAATAGGTCTCTGCCTCTCTGGATCCTATCAGTTTTTGGCCCTGGAACCCCCTCATCTGAGACTGGAAAGCAGGGGACATAGAGGGTGAAGGGCAGGTTAAGCAGAAGGCTCATCCCTGGGAAAGTCTGTCCCTACCCCTTGGGCACACCATGGCCTCTACCAGTTTGGAGTTTGGGTCACTTACCCTGGAGGCCTTGGTTCAGCCTCGCGTTCCACTGAAGGAGGCAGAAAAACCAGGGAGTGTATGAGGAGCAAAGTGGAGGGGAGTCACAGGGAAAAGATGAAGGCACCTGGGACTGAAGCCACCGGGGTGGTGTGAACCAGTTCAGAAAGGAAGGAGGCGAAGGACCACCCACCCTATCCTAACAGTAAGGCTTGCGGCTTTGAGTCACATTAAGAGGTGTCTGGCCCAGATTCCACAGCAGTTCTGCTTGACGGATTTTAAGCAGATACGCCCCAAGGGCGGGGAGAGAGCCCCGGGCCAGCCTTGTTTCCCACGCCGGCCGAGCGTTCCGTGTTGGGGCAGTTGGCGGTGCTGACCAGGGCTCCCCCCTACCTGGGAGTCCGGAAGTTGCCGGAGTGGGTACGAGCAGAGCTCGGGCACGAACCGGGGAGGGAGGGAAGAAGGGGCGCGCCGGCGCTGGGCTCTCGCTGCGGCCCCGCAACCGGCAGGCCGGCGACCAGTCCCGGCGGTCCCGGGGTCGCGGTGGGGCTGCCCTCACGCCGCTCCCAGGCCCAGCGACAGCGTCCTTCCCCGGGCGGGCGAGCACGGAACCCGGCCGGGGCCAGAGGCCGCCTTCTGCCCGCCCTCTCCGGCCCGAAGATCTCACCTACCACCGCCGCCCCAGAGCTCGGCGCGGGGGCCAGCGCCTGCCGGACCGGCGGACGCCTGCGAGCTCCGCCCGCCGGGGCCAGGCCCCGCCCCGCCCCGCCCCGCGGCGGCCCGCTCACCCCTAGCGACTTGGGCTGGTTCCGGCCGAGTGTGACGTCTGCGGGGGCGAGGAGCCGGCGCGACTGCGCAGGCCGGGCAGCTTTCCGGGCTGCTGCGGCAGGAGTGCCCGGGAACTGCCACTAGTGGCGGGAGGCCGGGGTCAGGCGCGGCTTAGTTCCACCTTTCTTCTTGCAGGCATTGACCAAGCGCCTCTTTCCGTACTGTGGAGCACCTTTCAGAACTAGGCGTTGGCACCACCAGCTAGGTCAGCAGGCTTCACGGAACAGGAATGCAAAGTGGGCATACGGATGGGCAAAAAGGTGGTGAGGGTGTAAAAAGGGCATGGGAATACAGTAAGCATGTACGGAGTCGAAGGGGGTTTGCATATTCCCAGAGGCTGGGGGGCAGCTTCAGTCAGTACCCTGGTAACTCCGTGGCTACCCAGTGCTCTGGAGGAACCTCCTGTTGCGGCTCTGATGGAGGCCGGTGGGCTCCTGAGTTGCAGGTACTTGCCCCCAGGGAGGTACACAAGGCACAAAGCTGAGAATGTCCAAAACAAAAAACCATAGCGTCTCTAGCTTTTCAAATATTATAAATTTAATGAAAAATCCCAACTTACCCAAATACACTTATTTAAAAGTTCATGTTTGTGTTTTATCAAGTTCAGATTAGAACCTCCAGCTGATATGTAAGTAGATATACACATGGTGGGGGGTGCATGCTCAAGAGGCTTTATGTCAGGGTGGTCAAGAACATTCAGAGGCCATAGCTGTAAGCTGTTCTTTAGCTTCAGAGGACCAGTAAGGCATAAGCTATTTGTGTTGTGGACTTGGTGTGCTGGAACGTTCATGCTCTCCCTCTCAAATGGGGTTGAGGGGTCTTGGTGGAGCAGGCTGGCACGAGTAAGAAGGCTGGGCTTGGCACCTGCTGTGTTGAAGACTGCAGTTTGCAAAAGAGCAGTGGGGATGGGGCTATCCGAGGACTGGGTAGAACTGGCTGGAGGAAGGGGATGCCTCAGCTGGAAGCAGCCAAGATGTGTCCTCCTTGGAGGAAACCTGTGTGTTTGTATTCCAAACGAAGGGGAGTGGTGCCAGGGGTCATGGAGAGCGAATGTATTCAGAAGGCTGCTCCTCATTATTTTCAGTGACTTCAGCTTTCCCTGAAAGGCCAGAGTGGCCCAGTGGGGTGTTTGACATGAGAAAATTTGGGGGCCTTCCCTGCTGGAAAAAGATGGCTACATTAAAGCTAAGAGAGTGTCCATAGTTGGTTTAAGAGATTAATTTACCCCAGAAGAGGAGGAAGGGCTCTTACACATCAGTCAAGGATATCTAGTTCCCAAAGAGAAGTCATCTGGATTGAGCAAAGAGATAAACAACCTAAATATAATTCAGATGGGACACCTGCCACCATATTATGTAATAGGATCATGATGGTGATGTGACCCTGAGATGTGTGCCCACCTGCTGCTCTCCAGGCAGGAATCTCCAAAGATACTATGTGATAAGCACACATGCATGGAAGGCACATTCTATGCAATCACAAATATGGGATGCATTTCGTATTTAACAGGGAGGTATAGTGACAATCATTTTTGCCTACCCAGCATCAGGTCACAGCACCTCAATTTTCTTTTTGGGGAAGCATAGCTCCTCTTGGTACACAAGATTTGCATGTGGATGACCCCTGTGTTGGACGCTGGAGTGGGCATGTGCCCATGGGTATCAGAGCCACACAGACTGATGCACAGAAAAGCCCATAATCCACTCTGGACCAATGAGAGTTAGGGCTTGTACTGAAGTGTTGGGTGGGTGGGAGCTCTTTTTGCTGTGGTTGCTAGACTGGGACCTCTACTATTGCTCCCCCTGCCTGGAGAAGACAGCATGTTTGACAAGGAAGCAAGTAGAAAATCAGATCCAAGACTTGGAGAGCTCCTGTCCTGATGACATTTTTGGAGCTGGAATCACCAATGGGCATTGGGGTCCATTATAAGAACAATATGACTCCCTGCCTGTCATTATTTTTGCTTATGCCAGTTTGAGTTGGCATTCTGGCACTTGTGATGTCCTAACTTCCAAAGGATAGGTTTTGGCTGGGGCACCCTGGTGGAGGGCTGTGGGATATATAACACTTGACCTCTAGTTTGGAAACTTGTACAGGCTACACTCTTCACCACTATCAGCTTCTGAGTCTGCACTGGGCCTAGTGGGAGCTAAAGCTGGCCTGCTGTTCTGTGTGCCTCTAGCAAGGGCACAGCCCCCTGAGGAGTTAGGAGCCATTGCTGGGGCACAGTCCTGAGATCCCAGCAGGTGAAAGGGTGTGTGACCCAGGACAAGCACTTGGTGAATGTCCTAGGAAGGTCAGGCACTCACAGCAGTTGAGGCACAGTGGGGCTTAAGTGCTTCCCAGCCTTGCCCTGTGGACCTTCAGTGAGATTGTGTTCATCTGAGCCAAGCTACTGGCCTTGTGGAGCCCCACCTATCTAGCTTCTAACCTCTGGCTCCAGTGAAATTCTCCCTCAGCTTGCCAGGGACCTTTAACCTCTTCTGGAAATGGGGATAACAACAGTCCTTTTTGCTTGGGTTGTCATGAGGATTGAGCAGGTAATGTGTATAACTGGGGTGCTGGCGAAAGAACTAAGGTTCAATTAGCTTCAACATATTGGGTTGTGGCGGGTGAAGAGGAAACGCTGGCCCCATGTTGATCGCTGTGGCAGCTCTGATGGGCACATGCGAACTCGTTTTCTCTACTTTGGGGGATGTTTAAAAGATGAATACATGTCTACTACTATAATAGTGGATACATGTCATCATACATTTGTCAAACCCACAGACTGTATACCATCAAGAGGGCACCCTAATGTCAAGTCTGGGCTTCTGGTGATGACTGTGTCAGGAGAGGCTGGGTAGGTGGTAATCTTTCTGTACTCTCTGCTCAGCTTTGGTGTGAACCTAACACTTCGCCAAAAAAGGAAAAGTATTAAATTGAACACATGTAAAGTGCTTGCCACAGGGTCAGGCACAGCGTTAGCTTCTTTGATCACCATCTCCTGAGCCCTTCTCAAGTCTCCACCGCCCTGACCCGTCATGGCCTTGCTATCATGCCCACAGCCTCTAACTTCTGTCTGTTCCATAAATGCTTTGTTTGCACGCTGGCAGCATCTGACTCCCAGAAGCAGGACTTTTAAGACCCTTGGCTCCACCACGGCCCTCTTGAGATTGCCTGGCTGGCGACCCAATTCTTTATAGCTAGGAGGTCCAAACCTCCTTCTCTGAGCACTCCTTTTTCTGACCCCTGGCTGCTTCTGCACCCCCAGATGTGCTACTCCAGCGAAACTCCTTAGTTTCCTGCTGAATGAAGGATATAACTAAGCTGCTAGAAATGCCAAGTAGCCCACATGACCCAGCCCTTTGCAGCCCTAATTTCAAAGGTGTCCAAAGTCGAGTGTGACACACTAGCTCTTGAGGGAGGCCGGGGTAGCAGGTTAGGCAACTGGGCTGGTTTTAACCCCCATTCCTGTCCCTGTAGGTCCGCACTGTGGATAAGAGTCGGTGAGTTTCCTGAATCCCAGAGGGCAGAATCATCTCTCCCAGGAAGGCTATGGGGATGGCAGCTGGGAAGCCATTCTGTTTACTGCCTGAGTCACAGCTCAGCCACAGCAGGACCTGTCTGTGGCAGGAGCCCTGGACACAAAGGCTATCTGCTAAGGCTGTGGGGACAGGTACGCTGAGCCTCAGGGACATGTTCCTCCCTGCAAAGAGAATGCCACCCCTAACTCCCCACTAAATGCACTTAATTCCATTGAGGGCCACCAATTTATTAAGAGGTCATTTAGAAGGCAGGCCCTCTGACAAACCGCAGGAGCTGCCACCTGCTGAGCTAGGGGCCGAGATCAGGCTTGCTATGCCTTACAGCCCCAGCTGGCCTGGCTCGAAGGTGGCCCCTTCCTGCAGGAAGTGAGGCAGCAGGCAAGAGGCAGTAAGGTTCCCAAAGCAGCTGGAAACAGGATTAGCCTACAGAGCAGCGAGAGGCTCTGGAGGAAGATATTCTGGAAGATGCCCCACACTTCTGGAGAGCTGCTGCCAGACTTGGGCAGTGAGGGGGCGAGCGCCAGGGCCCTTGTGGCTGGGGTGCGTGGGGATCAGGTGGGGGCTGACAAAGGGAGGCAGCTTTAGGAAAAGGACATGGGTACCTGAGTCCCCCTGACAGAGCAAGATGGGACCGGTCCTGCAGCCCCCACACTCTGGCCACTGGTCACCACCTTGGGGCCCCAATGTTGGGGCAAGAGAGCACTTGTGGCTGGGCATGGAGTCAGTCCTCAGCCCTGCCCTTGTGCTGCTGCCACCGCCGCCGCCGCCACCACCACCTCCCTTGCCTGCTGCTTGTGCTTGGCTGGCTAGCTGGCCGTGGTCCTCTTCGGGACACAGCCTTCCATGTCCAGTGCCCCGGGCCAGCCTTCATACTTATTGGTGTGCTTGCTGTTCTTCATGTGCTGCGGGGCGGGTGGGGGGGAGGCAGGAAGTCACGCTCGCAGCCCTCAGTCCCCTTGTGGCTGTGTCAACCAGCTGTGCACCCAGCGTAATCGCCCCCTCTGTCTGTCCCAACAGTGGTCTCCCCCTCTCACAGATGGAGTGGGGGGCCAACTTCTTTGCACTTATTTGAGCCTGGCACACAGCAGGAAGGTAAGAAGGGAGTGTGTGCTTTCCCACCCTCACCTAGCCCACAGGGAGCTGCTAGAAGCTGCAGGAAGAGCAAGGCCGGAGGGGGAATGTTACTTCTGTGGGGCCTGAGCTATTCTTTTGACAACCAGAGCTTTCTGGAAATCACTAGAACAGCGTGTTTGCTTTGTGCTGCTCTGGGGAACAGGGTTTGGGATACTATGGCTTTCACAGGGCTGGGAGCCTCCCAGAGATGACGATGGTACCTGAAGCAGGCCAGCCCCTCACAGGGGGCCTGACATATGTGGCCCAGAGGAGCAGCCAGGGGGCAGCCAGGGCCAGTGGGAGGACAACATGCAGTGTGGACTGGGGCACTGGGTTTTGGGAGAATGGGACAGGACTGAGCATCTTGAAGGTGTCTGGGTGGAAGACTTCTTAGTTGTGAGTCTTGACAATGGGGAAGCTTTGCCATTTAAAGACCCTTTAGGATGAAATCCATACAGGACAGGATGGTTAAAAGTATAGATAGTAAGGGGGCCAGGGCCACTGGGGGTATGGCTGCTGGGTCAGAATTCAGGGAAGGCTGCAGCATGAGCAGAAAGGGTCCTCAAAGGATTATGCAGAAGGGGTGGGCAGACTGCAAGGCTCCTCTCCACAGGTACCTGCTCAAAGGGGCTCTTGTTCTGCACACCCTTGGCCCCCACGAACACCCAGCTGTCCCGGAAGGCCACATCCTTGATGTTCTTGCTGCCCAGATCACTGAAAAGCTTCCTGGTCTCTTCATTCATCCTGCCGCACAGAAAGAAGAGATGTGAGCCATAGCCAGAGAAGAGAAAGGCTGAGGCGGGCCCCGACAGGCACTTACTTGGTGGCTGGGTCATCGTAGGAGGCCACGAACACCAGGGTACCTTCATGCAGTGGCCGGATAAACTTCAGCAGATCGTTGACATCTGGGGGCACAGGCCCCATGGGACACAGCATCAGGCACCACTGAGCATCCCTCCCACACCAGCCCTGTTCTCCAAGAAGGGACCAGGCCAGGGACACACCCCAAAGGGTTACCAAGTGAGTGAAGGGACAAACTGGCAGACGAAGCAGGGCCATCCCTATGACTGTACACCTGTCCCACCCCCAGCTTTTCAAGACCTAAGGAAGTACTCAGGAAGCCCCCAGTGAGTGGACAGGGAAAAGACACCCAGTCATTCCACTGCAGTCAAAGGACAGGAGGCCACAGCTGCCACTTACCTCCTGCCCACATGTCGAAGGCCCGGGCCTCAATGAGCTCACCGCTGACTCCTGAGTCGAGAGGGAGAAAGGGGTCCTGCTGGGTGAGTTGCCAGGGCGGCTCCACCTACTACACAGCCCTGCCAGACCAGACTTAGGAAATGGCAGTGGCTACAGGATGTAGCCCTTCTGGAAGTGTTTCAAACATCCTCCATATTCGTGCCCCATGCATGCTGCTTGTTCAGACAACTGTGGCCCACTCAAAGCTGCAGAGCTTCTGCCTTGCATTGAATACCCTCCAGGGGCTCCCCATGAAGCACCCCCTAGCTTCTCGTACACTTGTAGGTCTGTGCTGCTACCATGCTTTTGTTCATTGGGTCGCTTCTTCTGTGGAGCCTTCAGCTTGCACAGACCCCTTCCCAGGCTTCCCTGGGAATTCTCAGATGGGTGGAGTGAGGCAAACACCCAGATGCCTCCACATGGGGCAGAAGGGTGGCAGGTCACAGCATGGCTGCACTTCTCTAGCCTGAACAGACCCCACGTCCAAGGGGGCTCACCGTTCACCAGGGCAATGTTCAGTCCGCGGCCCACGTTGTCCTTGACACTGCTCATGAGCCTGGCGGGAGGACAGAGCCCTCGCACAGCTCCTAGCCCCCATTCTTCCCCTCAGCCACCCCCGGCCACCCTCCAGAGCTCACATCTTGTCCTCCAGGCAGATCTTGGGTCCAATGACATTGGCAGCCCCGCTGACTACACGGAAAGCCAGGTGCTCCTCAGGACACGGCTGGGGCAGGCCACACTTGTACTTCCTGGCTCGAGGCTCTGGGCAGGGACAGCAGGGGTGACCCACGGGCCTGGCCCTCAGGTCACCCGAGATCTGAGAGGGGGAGGCCAGGACCAGCGTATAGGAAGGAATGAGTGACCACAGAGCAGGGAACTGGTGGGTGTATGGTTCAGGCCAAGGCCAGGGATACTTCCACAGACACTGTGAATCCTGGGAAGCTTTTCTGCCATTGGTGGGAGAAGAAAAAGGAGGCACGAGGGCTGGCCTGGGCCTTGGCCCTACCAAGAATACAGCCCAGAGGAGGAAGGGGCAGATGGGAGGGCAGCCCCACCAGACCACAGGAGAGCAGCAGGTGCAAAGAGAGCACCTGGTTCCCAGGGGGTGGAGGTGGGAGGATAGGACTAGGACAGTCTCTGTTAAGGTTGAATTTTGTCCCTACAAGAGATATGTTGAAGTCTTAACTCCCAGTACTTCAGAGTGTGACCCTATTAGGAAATAGGGTCATTGAAGACACAATTAATTAAGATGAGAGCTTCCTGGATTTCCCTGGTGGGCCCTAAATGCAGTGACAAGTGTCCTTATAAGAGACAGAAGAGGACAGACACAGTCACAGGGGAGGCGTCCACACGGCGACAGAGCAGAGACGGGAGTGATGTGGCCACAAGCCAAGGGCCCTGGGGCCCCCCGACGCTGGGGGCGAGGAAGGACCCTCCCCTGGAGCCTCTGCAGGGAGTCCCGCCCTGCCCACACCGTGGCTTCAGGCTTCTCGCCTCCAGAACTGGGAGAGAAGAAATCTCTGTTGTTTAAGCCGCCTGGTGTGTGGTGATCTGTCATGGCCACCCCAGGACACTGACACAGATTTTGAAACCAGGAAGTGGAGGGCTGCTGCAACCAATCTCCAAAACTGGGGGAATGGCTTTGGAACCGGATGATGGGGAGAGGCTGTAGAGTTTGGAGCTGCATGCTAGAAAAGGCCTAGACTGCCTTGAGAGACTGTTGATAGGAATATAGCTGTTAAAAGTAATTCTGGTGAGAACTTAGAAGAGAGAAGAGCAGTAGAGAGAACTTCTGTCATCTTGGAGAATGCATATATCATCATGACCACAATGTTGCTAGAAATGTGAACATTAAAGTTGCTTCTGGAGAGACTGCAGATAGAAATGAGGATGTTGGAAGAAAGACTTGGCCAGATTATTTTCTAGTGTTTTGTGGAAAGTAGATTCTTCTCAGGCCTTGAGACCTAATGGCATTTGCCCTACTGGGTTTCAGACTTGTTTGGGACTATTTATTCTAGTTTCTCCATTTTGGAATGGGAATGTCTACCCTATGCCTCTCCCCCAGTGTATTCTTGGAAGAGGTAACTTGTTTTCTAGGTTCACAGCAAGAGCCCCAGTGGGCCATGATGGCTAGTTTGGGGAGGGATGGAGAACAGGAATGCTGGAGGACTGGGACGGGCACAGGGGAGGAGCAGGGAGGTGAGAGGAGCCTTACCTGCAGTCACTGAGTCCTCTGGGCCTGTGGGTATAGAGAGTTGTTTCTGTTAGTGTGGAAGCCTCCTGGGGCCTGCAGCAGGGCAGCCTGGCCCTACACCATGAAGTCAAGGTGGAGGGGCAGTTAGGCTCAGGCACATTCCTGCTCAAATCTCAATGACGTTCAGATGCAAAGCTCCCTGCTCCAGGAAAACGGTAAATCAGAATTGTAACAAGTACTTAGGTGACCTGTCACCAGTAAGAAGGGTCGAGTGCCTCCCCATCTCATAGCCCAGTGGAGGACCTGCAAGGAGCAAGCAGGGAGCAAGCCCTTCTGCCCCTCACTCAGACCCCACTGACTCCACCTGGACACAGAACTGTGATTAGTGGGGCCTGGCATTCCCATGTGAAGCACCTGGGTGGGTGGGGGCAGGCTGTGCCAGGTGCCTCCCGAGACAGACTAGTGGCAGCTGGAGGTGGCTGGCCAGGAAACATGGTCCACCCCCTGGAGCCTCAGCCCCCAGGCCCGGGCAGCCACCCCGGTGACCTCCATGAGGAGGCGGGGAAGGGGCCCACACTCACTGGTGAAGAGTTGCTGGATGTGAGGGAAGCCGCCGCCAGGCCCACCTCGGAGGACGCTGACTATGATCCAGGTGAGGCCCGCGACGACGACCAGGGCCACGATGCGGAGGGGGCCTGGAGGCGAGACAGACACAGGCGAGGCCACCTCAGAGGCCAGTGAGCTGGGAATGACCCTCCGGCCTGCCACGACTGGATCTTCCTGTCCCCTTGGGAAGAAGTGACCAGAGGACAGGAAGGCGGGAACGTCCGGCCACCCCACCAGGCCTGAGAGGGGAGCTCGGGCTCCTGGCAGGTGGAAGGAGGACTCTGAGTCCAAGGCTCTCCACGTGGTTCTCCTTGGCAGGTGTGGAGGCGCCTTCCAGAAGTCACTGCTCGAGAGAGCCCCAGGGCTCCCCCAGGAGTCCCCCAGCTTCCTGTCTCCGAGGCTGCCAAAAGGTTTGTGTCCCACCCGCTCTGTCCTCTTTTCGTCCTGCAGTGATGGAGGAGGCGGCCCCTACTCCCTTTGGGGACCAGTCCCTCACCTGCTGAGAGCTGGAGCCCGAGCTCTCCCCCCTGCTCAGACTCCCTGTCAGAGCGCTCGTTCTGTCTCACCGTTTCTCCTGGAGGTTCAGCGGCACCTCCTGTCCTAAGGCAGCACGGAGGGGAAAGCCCTCCGTCAGAGTCACCTCCCTCCAGCCGCTGACCACTCACCCTGGCCCTCCTCTTCCCCACCAGTTCCTCGAGTCATCCACTCGCTGTGTCACCTGTCGGCCCTGCTCTGGTCTTCCTTGACCTCTCGGTTGGCTGCCCAGGACCTCCTGCTGGAGATACGCCCGTGGGCGCTGGCTTCCAGGACAGCACACTCTAACCCTGGCTGGACACTCGCCCCTCTCTGCTTAGATCATCTTCGCCCCTCTCCCCCCTCGCGTTCCCTGAAAAGCTGGGCTTTCCCAGGCTTCTGTCGGAGTACCTTCTTTTCCTGTCCTCTACTTTCCCTCTCCGTAAGGTGCTCTCACTTACTCTTGGCCTCCGATTCACCCCCACGGAGCACTGACTCTGTTCTCCTGCCCCAGTCGCTATGTTCTTGAGGCCACACCCTCCCAGCCAGTTCCTCCAGGAGGCCTCCTCTGGGGCACATCTGTAACACTGCAACCTTGGCAAGCTTGGATTTCAGTTCTGGAGTTCTGCTCTCCACCCCCAACCTGTCCCTCCCCAAGCCGTGCCATCTTCACTGTAATGGTCCAGCTGACAGCAGGGCTGGCGCCACTTTTTGTGCAAGTCCACCGCCACTCCGGTCAGCCTCTCCTCGAAGACCACGGCTCCCCACCTCGCTATACTGCACCCAGCCGCCAGGCTCCCTGGAACCCCTCTCCCACAACTCATTTTCCAACCAGGGGCCAGTTCTCCGAGTTGGGAGAAGTGTACTGTCCTAATCTTCACCTCACAGCTTAGGAAGCTGAAGTCTTTGGAGGTGAAAGGACTCAGTCAAGGTCACAGAATGAGTGTGCAGAGCTCTCCGTCTCCAAAACCAAGCCCAGTAGTCCACCGGGGGCCTCCAGACACAGACCTCTGTACACCTGGGACTCCAGCCGGGTCCCCTTTCCAGCCGCCTCCCGTTCACTGTGGAAGGCACTCACCGGCCAACCTCATGTCCAGTTCTCTCACTGGGGTGGGGCCGCCAGCAGGCGCACTGTTTGGAGGCCGTGCGCTCCGGGGGCAGCAAAGCAGAAGAGCAGGTTTGGGGGGGGCGCAATCGGTGCACCGACTTGTTCGTCCAACCCCCTGGCCAGGCTCCTCGGGAACGCGGAGAAAAGCCCTACCGGGACAGTTGAGGGCCTCGGGAACCCGTCGGCTCGCGACAGTACCCACGGGAGCCTCTGGACCTGGGAGGTGGAAATGGTTCTCGGGGACTCAAGCCCCTCCGTGGGAGGCCCCGAGCTCGGGCCGCCTTCCCGGGCCTGGTGGCGAGCGACACGGGCTGCGCCGGCCGGAGACTTGCCTGACCGTGGGTAGATGCGAGCTCGGTGGCGGGCCGCCCTGGAAGGCCAGCCGTCCAGCTCTGCCGGGAGCGGGGGAAGCGAAGCAGGAACGCTACGCGTCCCGACAGGTCCCGCAATGGCGGCCGGGGGCGGGGCCCCAGCCCACCGGCGGCACGCCAACCGCCCGCTCCCGTTCCCCCGCCCGGCCCCCGGATGGGAGGGGCCGCGCCCGCTCCGCTTCTGACGTGCGCACAGGGCTCCTATGGCCCCGCCCCCACCCGCGAGAGCCCCGCCCCGAGGTCTACCCTCAGACCCCTTCCTTCGGGCTGGGGGACGTTCGAGCCCCGCGGTCGGATTCCCGAAGCCTGGATAGGTTCCGAGAGGCGGGCAGATCTGGGGGCATAATTAGAAATTATTTTAAAGTTGATATATGTGCTTAAAGGACGTGGTGGTACAGAAGAGCACACAGGGGAAACCACTAGAATGCGACGAGACAGAGGCGACCAGGCTCAGCCTTCCAACCTTTCCCACCAAGCCTGTTGTCTAAGTGCGTTCACACTCAGGATTGCTCTGATGATGGGAGGAGCGTCTCGACGGCCCCACTGAAAAGCTCCTGCTATTCCTCTGGCCTCCTTCAGGAAGGCCTCCCTGACACCAACTGCACCCTGATCACCTCCCACATTGGCAGAGCTGCAGCCACCCTTTAGCTGGACCCATCTTTCTTTCCGGTGGGCGGTAGCTGGGTGGCAGGAGAATCGCAGATACATCCATGCCCTCTGACCTTGACCCCACTTACAGGAAGAACTTTTCTAAGAAAAAATCCAAGATACCAAGAATGCCTATAGAGACAGACAATGACAGTAGAATCCAGTAGCTTCTACTCTGGCATACAGAACAGCCTCTCATCTTCCATAACAAGATGAAGGTAATCAGTTTCAGGACCCTGCTGCTGCAGTCAGGAGTATTTGGCTTCTGTCATGAAATTTTAGATCAGAGATAATGCTTACCATATGCCAGACTCTCACGTATTTGTGAGGATCAAACCTTGGGCACTGTGCCCTCCTAAGTAGGTTTTCCTGCTTGTAGTTGTGGGACCCAGGAGAGGGAAGTCCCAGCTACTCACACTCTTGGGTTGCCAGTCACTGGGCATGTGACTGGTACTTCTTAGAGGACAGTGTTAACATCTTGCTCAGAGCAGGCATTTTGGAAAGGCTGGTTTAATGAGTCCCCATGAGGGTCCAGGGCACATCCACCATTCCCAGAGGTACCTTATGAGTGATGGGCCAGAGGCCTGGGATTCTTCTGTGCCTTGTGGTACTTCCCTGGGTGCCTTGCACAAGTACCTTATTTTCCTCCAAGACTGTTTCTCAATGGGGATGTACAGAGGATTAGACTTTCATGTCACAGACACTCATGTCCCTGCCCTAATGCAGGGAAGCAGTGTGAGGCAGCAATATGTCCTCTGGGCCCCCTTACCTGTGGCCCAGTGTTGCTCCCCTAGCTGAGGTGCCAGTTGGCTGATTTATCTTGGGTCCTTACATATCTGCCTGTTTAGGCACCAGAGTTGAGGTGACAGTTGATTCTCTCACCTGGTAACTTCCCCTTCCTCAGTGTAGACGTGGAGTGCTGAGCTGGGCCTGCATGCTTATGCCCCAGTGTAGGCTCCTCATGCCTCTATCCCAGAGTAGGTACCCAGAGCTGAGGTCACAGTTGGTGGCTCTCAATTGGGCTGTCGTGTCTTTCTTCTGTGTAGGAATCCAGAGCTGAGGTGACAGTTGACTTCCCCTACCTAGTCCTTCATGTCCCTGCTTGTTTAGTGACTCAGAGCCAAAGTGATAGCTGAATGACCTCAGTGATCCCCCATTCTCCTTTTCAGTATGGACATCAAGATTTGTGCTTTCAGTTGACCATCCTCACCTGGGCCCTCATGTCTCTGCCCCAGTGCAGGCAGCCAGTGTGAAGTGATAGTTGATGGTCCCCAGTGGGACCTTATACCTTGCTCAGTCCCTCCTCCTCCTTCCTAGTGTACAGATCAATGCCCCAGTATACAGCACCCAGATCTGAGTTGATTGCCCTCACCTGGGCCCTGGGCCTGTCACAGTGGAGACACTCAGATCCTCAGATCAGATTGGGAGGTTCCCACACACCTCCCTGTGCAGTCAGCACATGCTGAGGGCCTGGGAGGAGCCAGTGAATCCCTCCTTCACTCAGGGCTCCCATGCTTCTGGAGCGTCCTTCTAGGTGATGCCATGTCAGCTGACTCCCCAGGGGAGGGCTACCCTAGCACACTGCTCTGCTAGTCCCCCAGTCTGTAAACATGTGGGGCTCTGAACACAAAGACCCCTGCGGAGTGAGGAAGGGCCCCTGTCCTTTATTTGCTCTGAGATCCATAGGCAGTTCCAGGATGGTGGGCTGTGGCTGCTGGGGACTTGGATGGCTCATGGTCACCCAGTGGCAAGGCATGGCTGTGTGTTCAGGGACCTGCTTCGCCCCCTCCCAGTCTACCTACCATCTTGGGCCTTTTGGAGCCCATTGCAGGCCTGTGGCTGCAGACCCTCTGTACGTTACCGAGGAGCCTGTGAGCCACTAGGCCATTTGCCAGCTGCCACTGCTCCTTCTCCAGGAGGCACCGCACTCTCCCCTCCCGCCCCCACCCTGGGGCTGAAGCGTGACCTCCAGTCCTGTCCACCTGTAGCCTTCCCAGCTGCTCTGTGTGGACCTGTGAGGGACCAGGAGATTCAGATTCCATCCAAGGAGTCACTTAATGGTCTGTGACCTGCCTCTGTCCCTTCAAGTTCCTTCCTCATTCAGCCAGACCCAGGTGAACTTGGTAATCACCCTCCTCCCCCAACCCACAGGAGATCAGGGAGAAAGAACAGCATCCAGGAGGCAGCTCATGTGTGCAGGAACATAGCATCCTAGCTTATGGCCTGGGGTCAGGACAGCACACCATTCAGAGTTCCTTGTCTCTGTATCACTCCTGCAGAGCACACCTCAGCCCAACCACAAGACCTGGGGTTCTGCCTGTCAAGCCACACTTCGGCTTCACCCTAACTGGGCTGATTCTTGCCACCCCAGCCAGGAGGAAACCATGCACTTAGGGCTAGGTGGTTCACAGTGGCAAAAGCCAAGGAGAGGGCTAGGTGGTTGGAGCAAATAAGCCCTGGGCAATTACCTTCCCAAGCAGAGGGGCCACAGGCTCAGCTAGAGGGAGGAGTCACGATGGCCAAGCCTTTCCTAACAGCCTGAGGGCCTTCCCCATCTGGGAACAGAGGCCTGGCAGCCTCAGGGCCCTGGTGTGTCCTCACTTCCCCTCCAGTCATTTGCTGGACTGCTGGTTTGGTCTCTCCATAGAACATGTGTACCATCTGATCATTCTGTTCCCAGCTAGCTCCATGTACCAGAACCCAGGCCATAAGTACAGGGACATGTCAATTCCTGCCATCTCCCTGGTGCTTGGCTGAGAGCAGATCTGGGGAGAGAGGGCCAGACAAATGCCCGGGGCTGCTGCCTTTGTTGGGAGTAAGCCAGGTCCCCCCAAATCTGTGTCTACTTAGAACCTTAGAATATGGCCTTCCTTGGTTAATAGGACGTTTGCCAAGGTGATTGATGTAAGTTGGGGGGAGGTCATACTGGAGCAGGTGGGCCCCCAAGCCAGTATGACTGGGGTCCTTGTAAGCAAAAACAGGAGACAGACACATACAGGGAGAAGGCTGTGTGAAGATGGGGACAGACACCAGAGTGACGTGTCTACAAGCTAAGGAAGGCCAAGGATGTTGGCCACCAGAAGCTAGAAGAGACAAGGATGAATCCTCTCCTGGAGCCTTCAAAGGGTGTGCAGCCGTGCAGACCTCTTGATTTCTGGCTTCTGGCCTCCAGAGCTATGAGCATGCCAACACCAGAGTGGGGGTGTGGGGTGCTGTTATGGCCACACCAGGGAATACGAGCAGGGACTCCATGACCTCAGGTCCCCAGCCAAAGGAGTAGCCAGACGGTGCTGCTATCCTACACTAGCCCCACCCCCTGAGCCCCTGACACTAATCAAGAATTCCCATTGCCTCTCCTTCCAAATACTTCCTGCAGTAGTGTATGTGAACAGCCCTCAGCAAGTTTCTGAAGTGGCCTGGCTGGGGCAGAGACACCATAGGAGGCCCACGTGGACAGCAAGTGCAGTGGAAGCATTTGGGTAAGTGGAAATAAATGCAACCTGTTCTTGTACTACAAACTGGTCTTGTGAAAAAATCCTGTGAGGGGGACTCGGGGTGACTGGACATGTGGTCAGGGGTGAAGGATGGGTCCCCAGAAAGGCAGACAGTCACAGGTGCTTCACCAGGTGGGCCAGCCTTAGGTGCAGGACCCCTATTCCATGGTGACAAATGGCAGGAAGGAAACAAGCAGGGGACAGGTGGGTGTGCTCGTGGATTTAATGGCAGGTGGCTGAGGCAGCCATCCTGCCTGCTGCTTCTGCTTTGTCTGTGGTGAGGCGAGGAGGGTGGGCCATGGAGTGTAGAGCTGGGGTGGCAGGGAGAGCTAGTACGGCAGAGAGCCATTCAGGGGGCCTGAGGCATAGGGGGCTGCTGGGCAGCCTGGAGGTCCCTTCCAGCGGGTGACCAGGAATGTAAAGTGGCACTGAGGCTGGCATGCATGTGCACAGCCAGTGGAGTGTGAGTCAGCCACTGGCCCGCTGAAACCCACCAACTGCCCCTCTCTTGTCACCCCTAACTCCTGTCCTTGGCTAAGGAGCCTGGGACAGATGGAGGGGACAGTCTTCTTCCTTCCACTGGAGCTCAGTTGCGTGGTTGGGAAGAGTCACAGCATGAGGCTCAAGTGCTCAGTGGTTGTGGAATGTGCTTGGCCTGGGCAGCAGCAGAGCAGGGCAGGGCAGCCAGGGCAGCCCAGGGCCAGGAATGTGAGGCTGAGGTCTATGGTCCCGAAGTCCTCCCAGTGGGGGGTTAGGAGATGGCAAAGGGTGGAGGACAGAGGCAAGGGGGTTGGTTGGGGTGAGGGCCTGGGGTACAGGGCTCAGAGCTTGTGGGGGTTCACCCACTTGTAGGTGCCCTCGTACTGGAAGCCCACTCTCTTCATCAGCTCATCCGCCTCCACAGGGCCTCGGCTAGGAGAGTGACAGGCAGAAGGGAAACATGAGGAAGCATGAGCTTGTGTGCCTCCCACCCCGTCCATCCCTTGGTGCCCAGCCCC